ATTCCTCAACTTTTATTACATATACTTACATTTCATATGTCATTACTCCTGGGGTAATACCCAAAATTCACTCAAATTGCTCAACTTTTATAACATGTGTTTAGAAGAAAATGCGGGTACCGGGTGTAACGGGATTATGACATCACTCGTTTTCAGTTGACCTTTTAAAGAACAAACCTATCTCGTGAGTTGTTTACAGTGAATATTGAATAATCAGGTTCACATTCAAACCGCTAATCTAAGATCTACAAACTGCGAAAGACTCCGATGTTTAAATTTAATTATTTAGAGATAATACGTATTCTAACTACGATTTTCTATCAACTTTTTTACGTTTTCTTTTTTTCATAAAAAAAAAACTTTTTTTCAACCTTTACAAAAATTGAATAAAAAAACTTCAGAAATCGTGTTAGAAAAATCAGTAATATACATTTCGATACGCCTTTATCTCCTCTTTCCAACGGTGAAAACCGCAGTTCTCTATCTTGTTGCTATCAAACGTTATTCAAAAAATACTCACGAGCATTAATGTTCATGGTACCAGGACACATGTGAAAGAAACAGATCTTATCGAAATTTTATTATTATGATATTAGTTGAATAGTGATCAAATAGTATAGAAAGATAGACCAAAACACGCTCTATCTGTTCATAAAAAAGAAATTCTTTCCAAGCAGTCTATACGAAATTAAGATATGAGACTTACTACTTTTGGTATGACATAAGTATGTGTTTCACCACGAAAAGAGATATTTTCACGTATGAAATGTGCATCAAAATCATTCCATGGAAATTATTAAATTTTCATTAAAATCATGCAATGAAAACGATTGAAAAAACATGAAAATCTTATCAATAAAAAAATGAATACTTATCAACCCATGGTATTGGACTTAGAAACATGTGTTTGCTTCTGTAGCATGTGTTTTTGCAGGGTAAACTACAAGCAGTAACCGAACTTCTCGCAGAGCCCCCGCTGAGTGTTCTTTGAGGGCTGTATTATAAACTGCAAGAGTCTTTGGTTGCTAGAATCATATAGACCAGCAACCATTGTGTTGAAAAATATATCTGAAATTTTGTCTGAAGTACGCAGTATACGGCGTCCCTAAATGACCTTACATACTACGTCACTTCTCAACAAGTTATGTGTACGAACAGTATCTTGACCAATTTGAATTCATCATTTAAATGATGTATCTTACATGAAATTCATCCAGTAGAAAATATTTTTCGTTATAAGCATCAAATTGGTTTCATCTTGTTTGTGTAACGTTACAAACACAGAGATCTGGGTATATAAATCATGGAAACAATTTAATGCATTATATTAATTTTAAAAAATCCTAGTATCCCACGAAAAATGATTAAAAGTTTGAAAAGATGCAGTTTTTCGTTTTTCGAGAACATTTAAATTCATGACATGAAGATGATGTAAATGTAATGAAAGTAATGAAGTAATTTCATAGGAATTAGCCGAGGTCATATGATGAAAATGATGTAAAAAATACAGCTATCCTCGTACCTTTCATTTTTTAAAAAGTACTGAAATTTATATGATGAGAATGATGTAAAAATAATGACGGTAATGTGAGGATTTCGGTTTTTCTGAAAATAATGGAAGCCCCGGAGGTTTGTTGATGAAAAGTTCTGAAATAACTATTTAAATGAAATTACTTTCATTTTTTTATTCCCTGGGTAGGATATTATCATTGGTCATAAGATCGACACATCGTGTCATTTCATTAACTGATTGATTATTAATTCAGATTGTGTCTGAATGATTAGTGTACTCTGATGATCGAACCAGAAGATATCTTCTTACGAGTATCCCAAATATGTTTACTACAGTTTTCAGTTTTCAGTTTTCAAACTCTTTTTTGAACGATATTTGTTTTAAAATATTAAACAAAAACTAACGAACCATTTTGTTGATCAGCTAATCTAGATTTGATCTCATCTGCTAAATTCTTGATACGTTGTCGAAATAAATAGAATAGTGGCGTTTGTGGAATACAACCATAATGATCGTTCAAAATTAACATTCTTTGCATTATAGGAGTAGTTTGAGTTTCATTGTCAGAAGAAAATGATGAATAATCAATTAATTCTAGTAATTTACCATAATCATCATTTTTATTTGATAATTTAGTTAATGATTCCAATCCATAATCATCAACAATAAATTTTAAAATAAATGAGACAAAACTTGTAAATGATACTCTCATTCGTGAATGCAATGAATCAACTAGACCATTAAACTTTTTTCCACACAGAGTATCTTTTGCAAGATCATAAACTGAATTGCAATTTTTACGCAATGAATCTTCTTTCATTGAAACATTTTCATGATAACATGAAATGATATGTATCTGTAATTCATTGAGTTGTTGAAAAATAGTTTTTAAACATTGTACACGTTGATAATTTGATGTTTGACGTCGATAGAATTCAGAAGTATTTTGATTAATAAACATATCATCGGCTAATTTAATAATATTAATTTGTAAACGAGAAACAAAATCAAATAGGCAATCATCGAACAGTATATTTAAATCACACAAAGCATTATCTAAAGCTTCTTTTTGATGAGTTATTCCCATTTTTGAAGTAAAGATTTGTAACATTTTTTGTAAATGAAATGAACTACCCGGTGTTGAAGTGTCAAGAAACCAATAATCCCAATCATGTAAAAAGATCGATGGAAAAGCTGATTTATAATTAAGTTCTTGCCCAGATGAATGCATTAAGATAATGAAAAATTTTGATGGTTTGTCAAGCGTTTGATTGCATGATTGTTCAGTCTTATCAAGCAATTGTCGAACGAATGGAATATGCATACGTTGTTGATTAATACGACCATCAATAACAACAATAAGAATAGATTTATCATTTGATTGTTCAAAAGTTCGAACTTGTTCTTGTAATTCGAGAGAATTTTCAATAATTGCCTGAAAACAAAACGCAATTCCTATTTTTATTCACATGTTCGAAAAAATCAATATTATGTATTCATTAATGAAAAATCATGTGCTTAAGACATTATGGCTGCTATTATACAGAAAATATTTCTTGTATTGAATTATTTTTGAAGTAAATGCAGATGTGTATGATTTTCTTTTCATTCATGCTTAGGAAACTAGATCGCTTTTTGATCGTATCAAGTATATAATCAATCGAATAAAATCAGAGCAAGTGCGAAACAAAATATTCTGAGTGCCAAAGTGGAAGAATGATTCACGTTTGATTATCAGAGCGTCGGTATTATGAGCTACATTCAATAATTTGATGTGCCTTCTCGCGTTTGTCTCACTGTTGAGATAGAAAGGCTCATAAATAGTGAAATCTCATTTGTAAAAGCGATTTGAAAAATTGAGAGAAACAAAAATTGTTTGATGGATTGATCATTTCTACTTTCTTTTTCAATAGAAAACCAGATTATTAACTTCCATTTCTTTTTGCGATTTGAAACGATCGATCTCAGATCCCTAGTTAGCATTCTCTGTGTGCCTTAGACAGTGCAAAATCAATGTTTTCTCCATTGACTGTTTGCATACAGAAGAAAATTTAAAATACAGTTAGTTTTTTCCATACATTCTCCCCATTCAGAGCGATGCGGACATAGAATAGAACGAAATGTCATGTCCGAATCTAACCGAAACTGATAACAAGGAAAAACCTCTGTATCCGCAACAATTACTATTTCCATTTCGAAAGGTATCTTAATACAAGTGCTATTGTTTAAATGACTTACAAGATTAATAATATCGACATTGTCACTAATATGTGTCATTATATCAAGCCTATCATTTTTAAGAAATAAATCAGTTTTTGATTGTTTTTTTTTGGTTTCATCGATTTATTTAAATTTAAATAAATCTACAGAAAGAAAAGAAAAAAAAAACAACGAAGGGATTAGAAGAAGATGAAGATCAGGAAAGAGAAAGACTTAGGACTCCTGACTTAAGTCTTATGCCCTAAGAGGAAAGAGCTAAGTAATAAGGATCAATTTGTTTGAAGCTTCGCCAGAATATGTAATAGGTTTTCTTCTGAAATTTTGTCGTCATAATTTTTTGCTCTTGAGATTGATTTTTGAAGAAGCGAAGTGGCGTATGTTTTAATTGTGGGAATGTTACTAATCTTATGTATATATTCTGTAGATGTGTACGCGGGAAATCCAAGCGCTGCCCTTAATGCTTTGTTTTGTATTATTTGTATGCGTTTCCAGATGTTGTCATTAGCTGTTAGAAAAGCAGAGGACCCATATGTAATAATTGATCGAACTAGAGAATTGAATAGGTTCAACATTATGTTATTGTTTGAACTAGGATTTGATCTAGATAGAAAACGAAGAAGACCAATCCGTGGTGCCACTTTTGTTTCCATATGTTTGATGTGGACTCTCCAATCGAGTTTGTGATCAAATAGAACACCGAGATATCTTGCTGATAATTGAGGTTTTATAATTATATCTTCAACTTTAATTTCAACTTTATTTTTGTATTTTTTCCTTGGGTGTGGACTAAAATACACCAGCTCAGTTTTAGTAGGTTGGATCGTCAATTTCCATGTACTGCACCATTTCTGAAATTCATTTACAGATGATTGGAGGTGATGTTTGAGATTAGTAATGGTGTTGGATGTTGTCCATAAAGCAGTATCATCAGCAAAAAGGCCATGTTCAGTATGTTCATCAACACCATTCATTGAATCACTGGTATATATTATATATAACAGCGGTGATAATGGTGATCCTTGAGGTGTTCCACTCTTTAATAAAAAAGGTCTAGATAGTACATTTTCTATTTCTATGGAAGCTGTTCGACCATCGAGGAATGATATAATAAAAAGAATTAAATAATTTGGTAATCGAAGATCGTGTAACTTGTAGATTAATCCATCGAACCACACCGTATCGAAAGCAGTTTTTATATCAAAGAATATAACTGCTGAGTGTTGTCGTCGGTCAAGTTGGCCACGTGCAAATCTTTCGAGACGAATGATATTGTACATAGTGCTTTTGTGTGCTCGAAAGCCAGATTGATGTGTTGGAAGGATATTTCTTTCATTTAATTCTTTTGTCAATCGTTGTTTGATAATTTTTTCTAAAACTTTACCTATGCAACTTAGTAAGCTAATTGGGCGATAGCTCGAGGGTTGTTTTTTATCTTTTTTTGGTTTGAGTAGGAGGATGATGTTGGCATTTTTCCAGGCACTTGGAATATGACCAATATCAATGACAGCATTGAAAATCTTAACAAGATGTTCAATTAGTGATGTTGTATAATTTTTAAGGCATCGATTGTGAATAGTGTCCGGACCGGGTGAGCTATTAGGTAGTTGTTTCAGTATTATTTTGACTTCTTTGGTAGTTATTGGAGGAGGTTTTCTTTTGTTTGTGTGTCTTTGAAGTCTTCTTTTTATTACTTCGACTTGTTTCCGAACTTGATCATGGAATGGTAGTTGATCAAGTTTTTCAACAAAGATTTCGTTTTCGAAGTATGTTGCAAACAGATTGGCTTTGTCTTGTTCGGTGTTGGCGATCATGTTTTGGTATATTAGATCACCTGAGTATGGTTCTTTCATTCGTTTGTTATGAAATTTACGGACCGATGCCCATACTCTGGACGAGTTCATCTTGCTTGCACACAATGATGACCTAATTTGATTAAATCTTTCAGTACGATCATTTCGTAAGGCATTAGCTAAAAGTGCTCTACTATTATAATATTCATTTTTGTCAATATCATTATTTGTTTTTCTCCATCGTCTGTAAGCTTGATGTTTACGTTTGATGAGTTTTTTAGTTACTTTTGAAATTTTAAAATGTTTCAATGTTGTATTTGTTTGTGGGATCGATGATTTTGTTGCAGCAGCTATGCAATCAGTAAGTGCTGTTGCATACATTTCAATTTGTTGACCAGTTGTAATTGTTTTTTTCATATCCAATTGATTCAAAAGAACATTCAATTTGTTACGATATAATTGCCAATCTGCTGCCATAAAATTGAAGGATACTCGAGGTGATAAAGGTTTTGGATCAGCAGCCATGTTCAAGTTGAAAGTTAATGGTTTATGATCTTCTTTTAGTCCAAGAGGTGCTTGTGTTTCGATGTTGTTAATACATAGTATAGTAGGTTGGCTCGCTAAAATCCAATCTATTTTTTCTTCGTAATTGTTTCTTGTATATGTGGTTAAATCATTATCTATGCATTGAAGATAACCTTCATCGAGTACTTGTTGTAGTTGGTGACCTTTAGTATTCGTTCTTTTGGATCCCATGGTCTGAAGAGCAGCATTTAGATCACCGAGTATAAGACAATTGTTATTCAGGTTGTATATATGTTCGAAGAGTTCATGATGGAGTTGTGCATTTGGTGGAATATAAATCGATGCTACGAGTAGATGTCCATTTGTTGTTTCCATTTGTATCGCAATTGTTTCATTATTTTCAATTGTTTTGTTGAATTTTTCATAGCATCTGATATTGTTCCTTACTGCTAATAGCACTCCTCCTCCTTGTCGATCTGGTCTGTCCTTACGGAATATATTATATCCAGGAAGTGAGAAAGAATGTTGTGGTTTGAGATTTGTTTCATTGATTGATAGAATATCAAATTCATTGAATCGTGCACTTATTTCGTCTTTGTGTTTTTTAATTGAGGTGACATTGCAGTGCATGATTTTGATCATTTATTTGGTTTAATATTATCATCGATTTTGCTATCATGACTAATTTTCGAATCTTTGACTGTGGTAATTGGTTTTTCAGATGAGCTGCTTGGTGAAATATATTTACGTTTCGATCCAATGATTGGAGTAGATGTAAATTCAACACTTTCATTTTGAGTTGCTTTATCCAGTGACTCTTGCACTAAATCATCTTGACTATTTGTTGATTTTTTCTTGTTATTTGGTTCTTGTTTATTATTCTCTTCTTCATTGAAAATTTCGTCGATTTCAATGTTAAACTTCTTGGTAAATTGGTTCGTGAGTACTTCAAATCTTTGATTGAAGGTATCAAAAATTTTTTGTGTTGCTTGTTCAATAATTGACATCATTTTTTCTGTAAGTATTTCAATGATTTGTATTTGATCATTTTTATGAGGACTTTTAAGAACTGGAAACTCATCTTTGTTATTCCAATCTGGATGTGTTTGTGTTGATGGCCTTTGTTTTACTGACGATGAATATTGTTCAATTGTTTTTTGTATTTTTTGTTGATAATCTTTGTACTTTGGACAATTTGCAGACGTTGCAAAGTGTTCACCTTTGCAGTTGCTACATGTAGGTTTTTGACTACTATTAGGGCAATCATCATATTTATGATTTGCACCTCCACATCTAGAACATAATTGATTATCTGATCTACAATACTTGGCAACATGACCGTATTTAAAACATTTGTAACATTGAGACGGTGTGTTGTTGTGTTTAGCTGGCTCAACATTGAAATGCATCGAGTCGATTTGCAAACCGAGTTTAACGAACAAATCTCTATTTGATGAATCAGAAAAAGTGATTTTTATTGTTTTAAGTGGTATTTTCTCTTTATTCATTAAACGAGTGATTTTCTCGTATTTGAAACCTTGTTCATTTAGTGTTTGTTTGATATCTTCATCACTTATTTCTAAGTCGACCTTCTTGACGAATGCTTCTTTATTATTCTCCAATATTCTTTGAATAGAACGAGGAATGTAAATAGAAGAACATTGTTTATCATTATCTTGGATAATCGAAGTTAAATCATTCAGCAATCGATTGAATGATTTTACATCATTTGCATAAAGAGTGAATGTGTTTGGTCGGTTTACTTGTATATTTGAAACTTTGACATCTGGTAAATGGTTTTTGATAAGTTGGTTGATTTTGACTTTTGTGAGCGATTTAGCTTCAAGAATCAACGGTGCAATTCCAAATTCAAATTTTATATTAGTTGTTTGTTGTTTCTCTTCTATTGTAGTAGGTTGTTGCGGTGTATTGGTGGTCAGTGTGTTTGACTTTGAATTGTCTTGTTCACCTTTTCTTCTTCCACGAAGACCTCCGCCTCTTTTTGGCGGCATGACAATTCAATTGTTAGATCCAATAATGTTTTTTTTTTTTAATATAACAATTAATACTTGATTATATACCTTTTTTAATTTATTTATTATATATATATATATATTTTTTTTGTTTTTGTTTGTTTATTTATTTGTCCTTGTTGACCTTTTAGAGTAAGCAAGGAGAAGAAAGAAAGTACGTCTAATCGATAGCGTGTAGAAAAGAGGAATGTTTTGATTGTTTATTTAAACTTATAACAGATGATGATGTTCGAGTGAATATCATTAGTTTTTTTGTAATATTAATATTACTAGGTTTTTGTTCAAGATTATTGTTCATCGTCAATAATTCATCATTACTAATAGTTAACATTGGTGTATAAATAAATTGATGAATAAAATTTTCAACGTTAAAATGTTCTTGTTGATAAAAATAATGTTGACACAATAATCGAGTTGTACTTTCTTCAAATGTTGGTAATTTAAAAATCATTGATTCAGGAGAAGCTAATTGTAAAAGTTTCGATATAATGTAAAAAAGAAAGCATTGTTTTTTATCATTTATATCTTGTTCAATGAATGATTTCGATTGAATTGTTAGTTGATTATAATTTTCATGAATATTTGATAGATAAAGTTCGTCTTGAGCATTTCTTTTAATTAATGATAAAAGACATGAATACAATGTTTCGTGATTAAATCCATAGAAATATTCTTTTCCAAAGTGATTAATAAATGATTGAGCTTTCGTTTCTACCTCCTTCATTAGTTTTTGTTCTTCACTGGGAATATCTCTTAATTGAAGAGAATAAAAGTTCGATACACTAAAAGAATATTTTTGAAAACGACTTAAAAATGGTGCCGGAATATCTTTAAATTCACTTCGTTTTATATGAACGATACATTGAAAATCTTCATGTACAACAACATCGATTGTTTTCGGACCAATAGCTACTTTAGAAAAGATCTTTCTACTATCTTCAGTAGACATAATGGAAAAATTCTGATTAAAAACATCATAGAGTGAATCATGAATACGACCTGTATTTATCATTAAGATAGTTTTTCCTGTTTCCATACATAATTTAATATTTGATAAGATTTCAACATTTCGTAATTCATTATCGATATCATCAGGAAAATCGGACATACGAAAAATTGCAGTTTGACTTGGATCAGAATTGAGAATACCAGCTTGAAAGAGAAGACGAACAGCACTTTCATCCTCAGATTCATCAATAATTAATTTATATCTACCATAAAGACGACGACGTACTGGAGCTAATTTCATCGAATTGCGTAATATTGTTGGAATATTACGTTGAAATTGTTGCTTTTCGGTAAGTAGTGATTGAAATTCAGGACATTGTTCTCCAACAGCAGTAGCAAATTGATCGACTAATTTATCAAATTCTTCTGGTCGAACTCCATTAAAATTATCTTCTAATGCTCTTAATAAACTTCTTGGCGTTATTTCTTTGATAATGGTTTCTTCAACTTCATTGAAATTCATCAACTCAAACCTCAATTCTCTGAGCATATAAATAAAATCCCGATCATGAAATATATGCGGTATATCTGGTGAACGAAGAACTCGTCGATAACCTTGACATAAACCATAAATAACTCTATCAAGGCGATCATCTGGTATTGATTGTTGTCGTTCTAATTGTAAACCTAAACAACCATAGGCTAATATTTTCTGATCATCTTCCGATGGTAACGAACGATAAATACAAATCATTCGATTAGCATTGGCGGCATCAAATGCTTTGTTGGCAACAGCAACGAATGCTACTTTACATTCGTCTAAATAAGGATGTAATACTTTTAAAACCATCTTATTTTCATCTGGTAACGATGCTTCATCCAAGAAAACGACCTAAAATGAAAATTTAATAGTTTAACTAAAAATACATTAGGATTAGTTATTTTCAACGGACACATCGTGTATTCATACGATTTTGTTCATATTGTTGTTCACGTTTGATAGCACGATCGAAAATAAAAGCAATATCTTCTGAACGACTATATTTTGATCCAAGACAAAAGAATGGATCAACAGCTGGAAGTCGTTTACAAAATGGTTTTGCTGATAACTGTGCACCTTGAAGATTTTGAAGAACGATTTGAAAAGATAATGTTTTCGATTGACCTTTTATTAAGAAAAAAAAAAAGTAGAGATGCATTAAGATCATATTGGAATAAATTATTTACCAGGAACACCAATGATACATAAAGCTGTTCGTGTAACAATACTAACAACAATAGAGAAAATATGTTCGCGAACCTAGAAAATAATCTATTATTAAAATGAAAAGAAAAAAAGAACTAAATTCATACAGCTTGATTTATTGCTACACCTCGTGGAATAACAAAATTATTAGTATTTACAAATAGTTCTAATTCCCTTTGAACAATATAATCAAAATTAGGTATAGCTTCACAAAGTAGTTCAGCTAATTGTTCTCGTGATGGCGATTTTTTATCGTTACGTTGTAAATTATCTTCTTTTGTTGGAAGTCGAAAATAATACGTTAAAGCAATGGATAGAGCAATACATCGAATAGGATTAGGAGCATTTTGTACTCTGTCCAAGTGAAGTTCGTGATCATATCGCAATGTCCAAAAGAAATTGATCAGACTAAAACATCGTTGAATTTCTCGTTGCGAGACAGAATTATGTCCTAAAAAGATATGTTAATAGTAGAATAGTCAATTTTATGAATTTTCTTTTAAAAATATTACCAAGATGTCTTTCACAAAATTCTTGTGCTGTCAAAATTGCATTAGATAATGTTTTTTGAGCATAACGTTCTAATGGCATCGTTTTATCATTGTTTACCGATGAATTAACTTGAAACATAGCTATTTTTCGTACAATATAATCAGCTAATGTTTTAGATTCTAAAGCTCCATAAGAGACTGTTAAATATTTTAATGATTCCGGTAATTCATGAACAATATAATCAGTGCGATGAACTTGTTCTGCATTCTCTTCAATTTTTATATATGGATTAATAGCAGCTGTGAAGAATATATTTTTTGGAATGCTTTTACCACGTAATGTGCCATCCATGAACATCTCTTTGAATAAACCAAGACATGAAGCCGTATTGACTTCGTCAAAGAAGACAACTATTTCTATATCTGTTAAGTCGCGTGCTAATTGAGAAATCGGAGCCATAAACTCAACTAGTTGTTCTTCACTAACGCCAGGATGTAACAGAAGTCGATAGAATATAGGTTTTGTTTGACTATGAAATAAATATTCTTTGAATATTTCAATGGATGTTTCAGCACCTGTTGAAGTATGTTGAAGTAATTCTTGTAATCGGCAACTACTACTAATCAATGGGTAATTAACTAATTCATTAGTAACATAATCGTATAAATTTTTCATCAAATTTTCCTGTGCAACTGTAGTATTTGCAGCTGAAACGCTTATAACCGTTCTCCACAAGTGATATAAAATAGTTTTCTTTAATTGATGATTTTTTAATGACTGCTTCATATCTCTGAAAACAACATCATCCATTGCTGCATTCTTTTGTGCTGGTTGTCCTGTAACAGGTAGAATAGGTAATAAGATTGGCCGTTGATTAAGAAGTTCCGTTTCATCTTCCTCATTATTTTCTGGATTTACAATTATTGATTTAATCTGTTGAATAAATGTATTCAAAACATTCGGTTGTGGTTCAAACATTTTTTCAATAATATTTAGAAGAAATTCATTTGAATTTTCTAGAATTTTCGGGAAAATATTTCCCTCACGAGCATTTCGTTTGTTCTTCGAATTTAATAACAGGGAATAGAATTTTAAAAGAAATGTCTTTCCAACACCAGTGTCACCTTCAATAATTAAAGCTAATTTTGTTAATTTTCTTTCATGTAAATGAAAAAGTTTATAAGCAAAATTTTCTGTTAGAATAAATTTTGTTTCATTAATGATATTCATAAATGTTTCATATTTAATATCGATTAACCATGATAAACATTCAGCAAAATAATCCTTTTTTTGATAGTCTATTAATTTTAATGGATCACCATTTTGAAAAAGACTTTTTAAATCGTTTGGAACAAGATTCCAATTATTATGTAATAAATGTAACGAAAATCCAGGATCATAAACAAGATAAATACGAGGATAATTATTTTCTTGAAAGCTAACACTTGTTAAAGATATTGCTTCATTAATCATTTGCTGCATAGCAATACTACCTAATCGTTTAATACATTGATTCCAACAATAGTAATGTCCTTTAAAAAAACATGAGCGACGATATAAAAATTTCGTAAATGAAAGTTGATAGATTTTGTTTCTTGGTAAATTTGGAGCATATTTTTCAATGCAGTCGGCTATCCATAAACGACTTTCATTAGTGTCTGTTAATGGTTCGAAACTAACTGGTATATCTTCACCAATTTTTGTTCTTTCTACCATACGATCGATTGTTCCATTGTGAAATGCTTTCAAGAATCGTGCTACAAGTTCTTCTTCTTCATTAATAGATAATTTATAATTTTCGTCAGTAACTTCTTCTAATGTTAATGGAGATATAATCGAAAGAATCGGTAAAATTTGATTGAAATTTTCTAGAACACTGACTTGAGAAAGATCCGAATAAGGAACTTCAATAATAAATTTCCATGCTTCAGTATATGGTAATGAAAATATGAGACCACTGCTTGGATCAATTAAAGATCCACAAATGAAAAGAGAAAACAAAGTTCGATTTAATAACTCGAATGGTGCATGAACAGATATATTGAAAAAGATCGATGGACTATGGTTACTAACATTTGAATTAAATGAAAGAAATGAACTAATTAATAGTGAAAGATTTAATTTATCATTTATGCTAAAACATGACGTATCACCAGTTTTATATTCCTTGTTGATGCGATGAGTTTTACCTGAAATTAAAAAAAATTGAAGAATTCGTATTTTTTATAAACAACGATAACATTTTACTTACCAATACCCGCTTTACCATAGATGCTTTGAATATTTGGTGGTGAAATATGCTGTTGGTTAAATAGATTCATTAAATGTTGATAACTTTGATTAGTATCTTTATATTTAGCTGGTATATGAAATTCTCTGAGACCTTTTCGAGCAGTTGTTAATTCACATGAGAAATAGAATACCAGGCCATGTACACCTTGTTCACGAGTCAATAAATCTTGTTCAATTAAAAGTATTTCCCGGAGACGATGATGCATTTTATCAATATCCAAGATTGCGAAAGTAAGTGAAGTAAATGTACGTATACGAGAAAAAAATAAATGAATATCTTGTTCAGTAGTATTTGAACACCACAGAATTTGATAGGAAGCTGGCAACTGATTTTGAAAAATATTCAAAAGAACACAACAGGTATCAAGATCAAAATCATGTGCAAAAGATTTCTGATTTATAGACGGTGGAGGACGATTGATGTTGACAAGAAATTGTTGATTTTCATGCTGTTCTTGTCCTGGTTGAAATAGTTCTCTTTTATTTTCAAGTAGGCTTTGAAGGAATCCTGCTAATTTTTTTAAACATAGATCTGTATTTGACTTGGCTTCGATGCGGTATTTTTGATAAAGTTGAAGAAGATGATCGTTTGTTAAATTTACTTCTGAAATTCTTAATGAACGAATATAATGCGCAAGAAAATGGATTGTTAATTTTTGTTCGTTCTCATTTTGATTATTTAAATCTTCAAGTTCGAATAAATTTTTGAAAAATTGATTTCGAGTAGACTTTGGTTCATTGGCAGTTCGAAGTAAAATAATTAAAATCATAATTTCACGATTAGAAAATAATTTCAATAATGAACATAGTTGACGATATTTCTTCAAATTTTGTATCCAAATATCATAGGCAGTTTTCAAAGTACTATTTATTAATTCTAAACTTTGAATTCGAATACGGATACCGTTTTCTAGTTGAGCAGTTTGATGATCTTGTGAATCAGTTGACATAAATGCAGCTTGAACTGAAAAGAAGTGTAAAAAAAAACGTGTTTCATCATTTGTCAGGAAATATTTTCTTACCTTCTTGAAGATCTATTTTGTAATGCTCATCTCTTAATTGATAATCAGGATGACCATCTAATTCTAACTTATTTAACATGTGATAGATATTGTCAAGTATTTCTAATAATTTCAATTGTCCATTGATTAAAGTTTTCTTTGAAATTAAATTTTGTTGCACATCAGCGTAGCAAAATGTTAGTTGGCGTTTATGATCATCAATATCCGACATGGACAATAGAAATTTAATTTTTTTCGCTTTCATACCATCATTATCTTCAAAGTTATTTTCATCATCAGTCGGTTTTTTCATTCCAACTTGAATACGATCAATTGAATAACCAATTTCATAATATGATTGTTTTCTTATTAATCGTTGTAAATGAATATTAACACTGCCATTTTTATATAAGTGCTCCATAGTAATCAAAGCATTGTCTAATACTGTTGTTTCTTCTGCTGATAACCATAGTGTAACAAGTTGTATGTTATCGTTAATTACTGAAAAATATTATTTATTTTATTTATTTGATGTTTTCGAGTTTTATGTTTTGGCATTGATCGTCAGAAGAAAAGCATGAATGTAAGTGACTTCTGGAGCCACTCCTTCTTTTTTCTTTTATTCAAGTAGTTACTTTAACAACTGATTTCTTTTGATTAGAGATATAAACTACTCTTTCAGATCCTAAAGATCAATTTTCCTGACTTTTGTATTGAGTTATTGATGGCGGACACACTGAATCAAGCATATGATTATGTAACGAAGGTTTTTCATAATAGTACTCAACAAATACTTTTCAGTTTAGAATTTTAAAAGAATTAAGCCTGTAAGAAGTATTTTCCTCTTTTCATTTTGATAAAATTGGCATTCTTAGCAATGTGAATTTTTTGAGCCATCAGACCCTTTCTGAGATCTCTCAACATTGATCGATGATGTTCATCATGAAAAACAGCTACTCTCTAAAAACCATGGTGTCATATTAAATCATTTAGGGTTTTAGTGAAATCCTAGAGCCTTTTAAGCTATTAGATTTGGTTACCATTTTCAGAACCTTTTTTAAGATTCTATGCATAAAGTCTTAAACCTTTTAAAGTTGTAGACTTTCTGATTTGAACTTAAAATCGTTCTGAAAATGGTACCACGAAAAGGTTCAGTATGGTACCGTTTTTTGCAGAGTAGACATAAACAATTATAAAGGTTAGTGAAACATGATATTTAGTTGAGGAGCATTTCCTTTTAGGTAGTGAGCTTAACATGCTCAAATTCAAAAGAGAATATCTTCCGAGTAGACTGTCGAATACAATGTGCCGCATATTCTATCACGAGACAACATGAAATATTCTGACAACCTGTTTTGAATTCATAGTGAAACACTTTTTTCATGTTTTGTGTAAAATCAAACACTGAAGATAGTTAGCTCTCACAATTTTTCTGGTCTCGAGTCACTCCAATATTTACAAGACTATTTCGGGGTGATCTTCTCTATCATCAATCGCAATGAACATGTTCTCAGCTAAGAAAAGTCTGCTAATGTGATAATCAATTCAGTTCAGTTGAACTGCCCATGTCGTCAAAATCGCCTAAGTTTTCACGATTAATCGCGATTTTTCAAAATACTAGCGATTAATCGCGATTAATCGGCGATTTTTTTCATGATCGCGATTAATCGGTGATTTTTTTTCATAATCGCGATTAATCGTTAGTATTCTGAAAATCGCGATTAATCGTTAGTATTCTGAAAATCGCGATTAATCGTTACTATTCTGAAAATCGCGATT